TAAAAAGCAAGAGTCTTAAATATGATTTAAACACTGTATTCAAATTTATTAGCTCCATAGTTAATTTATAGTGCCCTGTGCTGCTGTTCTGCAAAACCATTAAAAGTCACTTCTTTCCTAAGTTAAAAATTTGCCATTTTTGAAGTTATGCAAGAAATCAATCTTTCTTACGTGAAGATTAAAGAATTAGTTTTTCTAACATACAGATTTTCTTGTATTGTTATGATAATGCTGCCATTTATTTAAAAGTAAATATAACTAGTTACCATTTACATTGGTAAGGAAATGCAATGAAAAATTATGTTTGATGATTACAGTATGATTACTGTTTGTTGCTTTGTTACAGTCAGTTACAGAGCAAAACATATAGCTCTCTTTGTACCTTCCAATGTTACAATCTGTGAAGAAATTATATTTCTGGTGAAGTTGAGATTCTGGTTATTGATAAAAATAATTCAACTGGCTCTGTTCTTGGGGTGGGGGGACAGGGACAGGCATTCCTGTTGTGCCCCTGAGATCTCCCAGAAGAAATTTGCTACCTCAGAAATCAAGCACTTGCCTGAAAACAGAGACTCGAGACAGTGCATTATGCTCGAGCTGGGGAATAGGGCGGATTTTTCTCTCAAACCATCTCTTCTGCTCTCTAGTTTGAATTATCAATAAAACGGCTTGGCTTATCTGTGAAAATAACCTTGTTGACAACACAAATAGGGACTTAAACATGCTCCTTCCACATTTAAGGTTTGTGAAGCCCCCAGTAAGTGTCAGGGGGTGTCCATGTGTGTGCTGTGATACTCGGTTATTAGTAGTGTTTAACGGCAATTCCCTGCCAGTGCCACGTGGCCGGCACCACCATAAATTTTAATGTGATCATGTGCACTTCTCTTTTCATATTCAGTGAATTCTGCAAGATCATAATATTCCATATGAACCCTAGCTGAACCTTCGTGTGATATGAAGAACAAGATTTCTAGCAGCGACAGTTGTTTATCATTTTATAGTTAAAAAAAAAAACTGGACACTGAGCAACATGGTTCCTTGAATAAAATTACCCTAAACTAAATCCACTTTTTCCATGAATCTTTATTGAGCCCCACAGGATGCAGGGCACGACCCAAAGTGCTAATGAGTACATTTATGGGATAGTAAAGAATACTGACTCTTGAGGAAACCGTCTCCCCCCTGGGAAATCTGTCAGTGCTCATACATCATTTACAAAACCCAAAAATGTCTCTGCAGCTTTGGCACTAGCACATGCCTTTCACTCTGCAGAACGCAAACAAAAGCACGGTTGTTGCCTTTATCTGGTCTGCATTGTGAGTAGAAGACATGTGTTTATCACCCTTCATTATATGTGTGCTTGATGGAATATTTATGCTCTGAGCACCCGTAAATGAAGAGAATTTGTATAATTATTCTTGTTCTGTGTTTTTTTCTTTGTTTTAACCACAAACAGTAACTTGCACTGTATACTCTTGTTTAGCTGAGGAATTAAAAATATTTGGTAAATGTTAGCTACCTAAGTATCTCTTTAGAAGCAAAGAATAATGTTGAAGCTTTCATTTATAAAATCTGGGATTTCAGGCTGAAGGCATGGAGCACGTGTCATTAACAGGGTTCCCAGTGAGCTAAGTTTCCACCATTTTAAAGAACATCTCCTGTCCTATAAAGCAGTTGTTTCTTTCTTTCTTTTTCAAATTTCCAAATGAACAAAACCACTCTGTTACTCAGACATTAGGTTGAATGCCTTTGCAGAGCACAATTCCAAGTCAATAAGCTTATTTTCTGTGTTTGAAATGATTTTAGGGTTTAAAGGTTAGGAAGCTGGTGGACGTATTTATAATTCGCTCATCCTGTTGTGCATAGTGTCATAATTTGCTCAACAGTGACACACAGCTATGCATTTTCCCATTCCCAGAGACAATGGGCTTAAAAAGGACACATCCAGAGATGTCAGGTCACGCAGAGTGTGCCTTGTTCATATCAACAGCTCGGAGAGCACGGATGCAGTCACAATACAGGTTTTTGCTGATAGGAGGGGCCCTTTCTGTTCAGACTGGCATTGTGGTGTCTGTAAGAAAAGAGTGTGGGGGAGTGTGCCTCAGTCTCTCTGGTCCTAGAAGAAAAGAAGCTCTTTAAGGGAATGTTTTTTTTTTTTTACCCTCCTCCCTCTCCCAAGGCTGGGAAATTTTGCCTTGGAGTGCCATCTAGAGTACAATTCAGCGCACATACGCCATGCTTTCTTGGCTTTGAAACTCAGGCTGAATCCAGTGGTTGGTGTACTGTGATTTGTTTGTTAGTTTATTTGTTTGTTTGTTTGTTTTCAGATTAATAGAGATTTTGGGCTCTATCTCAACACATGGAAATAGAATATGATATAATTAGTATGTAAATAGAATCAATTATGAGAACAAATAGTGAGAAAAATAGTGAAAGACCCTATCTTCACGAGTGATCTTTCATGGGAAGATTATCATTTTTCCACATGCTAATGTTAAAATTGATGAATGAATTAAATTCAATTTCTCTTCATTGATCAAGTGATATTTGTTAACTCTATAATTATTTTCTTAGTGAAAAAATTCGGATTAACTAGATTGTCTACAGTCCAGTTAGAGAAGGGATTGCTTGTGTTAGGAGAAAATAAAGTTGACATTTTAAACGTATTGTAACCTTTAGCCAAGTTTGGCAAAATTTAATGAGCAGAAAATAATATTTTTTCCAGATGTGGCTACTCAATTCAATGTGAGGGAGAAAAAAATAACATTGACCAATATATTCTTTCCAAAGTCATGTTTTCATTTCACAATTCCCATTCCCCACCCCCACTTACCCTCCCCACCAGAGAACTTTCATAGAAAATTCGCCTCTTCTTGCGCTTGCATTAATACAAAAACAAAACCCAAATCTTCTCAAACAGTGATACTCCTCAAGCTCGCTGAGTAGACTTGCAAAAATAACAATACCTTTGGAATATTCTGGCTCCATGAGTTCCCCCACCGTGGTGACATAGTTTGAGAGTTCTGCTTTCTTCAATTTCTTGAAAAGGATCAAGATGGTCGGTCCATTTTTCACTCGAGGCAACTGGGTATGCATTTCCTTTAACTCCTAAGTGCTCACCCGGATCCTGCCACTCTTGCCAGCTGCACCATCCCAACCACTTTAAGGCTTGCCATAAAAGTCTGTTCCTGACTTGGACATCTCTAACTCACCGTGCCACGGCCATTCCTTTCCCTTCACTGAAAAAGGTTCCTATTTACTTATTTTGGCAGTTCACTGTAAATCCATAGGTTCTCCAAAATAACAGGTTAATACTTTCTTTATTGAATGTCCTCTGTACACCAGACACATGAACTTGGCACACAGAAAGTTATTCCTTATCTATTGTGATCTGATATGAAAGTGCTTGGTTATTTATGTATTTATTTTGAGCAACACTGGCACTTGAGCAATTAAGGCTCATAGCTCAAAGCATCTTTCATTGCACTTGACTGGCCGACTGTTCTCACAGTGTGTTTTATAGGAGGGGGCCAGTTCAATCTTTCCAGGCTAGTCTGCTTGTTCCTTAAGCAGTTAAAGATCCAAAAAGAAGTCTTTGAGCACGGAAGTGAAGACATTTGGTCTCATCTTCTTGTGCTGCACGCACATTTGAGTTCAAGTCAATCCAAACACGCATTTGTTGAAAATCTATGCACGTGATAGAATGCAAGGTGCTGATGAGGCTCTCAATAAATAAATGTTGAGCCAATAAGTGAAAGTTATTGAAAGAACAAGAAATTATCTGTTTAGCTTCAAGAAGCCTACTCTGTAGGAGAATAAGAGATTGTAACTTAAAATACATGGCAGAAAGAAAGGTGTGTTGTACCAGACATAGTTCAGAGAAGTAAATAATTACTGATGGATGCCTGGGGAGAAAGAGGAAGAGTTCATGGAAGAACTGGTTTTCGAGCAATGTCTTAAAGGATGAGTACAATTTTAATAGGCAGAGAATGTGGCAGAGGATTTCTTGAAGAAGAAAGAGAATAACATTCCATTTGGACCAAAAGAAAATGTATGTGATTTGGCATTCCCTATTTTGCATTTAAATTTTAATTTGGGTGCAGAGTTGTAAGGTATTTAGATTTATATTATGTGAATCCAAAACTAATGTTCTGTTTTTCTTTTGTATAGTAAATATGCTTACATATACATATACACATATATGTATACACATGTCTGATGTATAACTGCAAGGCTAAAGAAATCAATAAATTTAAGCCAGGAAATATTATTAGATGATAGCTTTACAGTCTAAGTGGAAAAACAGGCCAAAACAAGCCTTATTTCTTGCCAGTAAATGGAGATGAATAGAGAATTTTGTTTCAATCTTTGCCACAAACATTTGCTTTTAGATTAAATTCCAAGGCTTACCTCTGGCAAGCTGCCTTAAACTATCTCCATTAACAAAAACAAAACAAAACAAAACAAAACAAAACAAAACAAAACAAAACAAAAAGACCATCCCTAGGTTACAGCCCCTGGAGCAGAGACTGTAAGCCTGGTGCCCTCCTACACTCTGAGAACAGTCAGTCCTACTCTTTTCTCCCCTTGGCTTCCCTTGGCACCCTGGGCATTCTCCCGGGGACCATTCCCTCAGGATTTCCATGTCCCCGTGGGTACTGTTCCCACACACCCGTCCCCACTCTGGCTTTCCACCAGCCAGTCTTATCTGGTGATCTCTTTACTCGGTTACTCAGCCCCACATCCTCGATAAACAGATTACTTTGAAAAGTCAAGCAGTTTCTTTTACACATACACGTTTCCCAAGAAAAAACATTGAAAGAGACTCAAGCACAATAGTCATTCCAAAACTACACCTGCTTCAAGAAGTCAGCGGCGCTACAGCTGTGAGCCCAGACGTTGTCGTGGAAACACGCGCTCCCATGACCCGGGTAGGGGGTTCCAACGCCAAGTGAACCCCACAAGTGACAGCGGAGCGTTCACCCGCACCGAACACTCACTGTTAACAGCGCAAACATCAGTTGGCACACGTTGAAGGCATGTCTCCAGTTGTGGTACAGGACCATCCGGTAGTTTTTCCTCACTGTTAAAAGCCACCTGCACAGTGTCTGCAACGGGAAGCGAAAGGCAGTGTCAGGCTGTGGTGTGCGTGTCCAGTGAGCCATTACTGGCACGAGGCCTCACGTCGGGGCGGTCCTCGGGATTCAACGCCCCTCACAAACACCTCCTAGAGTAGTTACGGTAATCCCATGAAGCGTGCAGGGAAAGTATCACCATCTCTAGTCGGTGTTTGGGAAACCGGAGGCTGGGAGTGGCTACTACGTTTTCCCGCGTGCGCTCCTGGAATCACCCAAGAGAGAAGGTCTTACCTCGTAGTCAATTTTAAATTTCTGTACCATCCCCAGCTCGATGAACATCCGAAGGGCAGCCGTGATCATGGCATCAACGTCCAGAGAAAAGTCATCGAAATGGATGTCATCGATGGCAAGTTCCGACACCAAGGGAATGTTGGCTGCCTACAGAGGCAAAAGACCCACGTCAAGCCAAGTTCACTGGCTTTTCCAAACCCCTCATCTTGCTCTCCTCTCCTGCTTATCAGACGTGCCACATAAATCAGAGCTGACCTTCACTTACACTCTGGTACAGCTAAACTCTGAGCTGGAAATGTCTTTTGTTTCTGAACTGCAGATGCCCCAAGCAAAGGAAGGGGAGAGGGAAAAGCTAATCTGAAGCAAGAATATACACACTGGACCTAGTCTGTAGAATTTAGAACACAAAACTGCCTAGTTTACTGAAACCACAGTCACACGACATACGAGTATTCTGACGCGTACCACAGAGCACTAAATGCAAGCAACATCTGGGCAGCCCACAGCTGTGAATTCTAATTGCTGCTCTTCAGGAGGACATGGGAATCTACCGCTTTGCTTCCTTTCTCCTATTCTTGTATCCTGTAGCTGTGCACATGCTGTTTGTCACACACATTTTGTATATTTACAAGGAGAGAAAGATCTTTGTGCATCTCTGTTGCAAAATGTGTTTTCTTAGTAAAACAGATATTTGTGGGGTTAGCTTAAGCATATGCATCACTGAAGGAATATACTGTAATATTGTTTAGCTTCATTCTCTATACGCCATTTGATAACTTTAACATAATTTCAATTCTGGTGATACATAAAGTCATCCCTTCATCTGCATGAGGAATTTGTTCCAGGACCACAGTGGATGCCCAAATTCATGGATGCTCAAGTCTTTTATATAAACGGCATAGTGTTTGCATATAACCCACATACATCCTCCCGTATACTTTAAAGCATGTCTGGATTACTTATAGTACCTAATAAAATGTAAATACTTGTTATATTGGACTGTTGAAGGAATAACTACAAGAAAAAAAAGTCTGTACATGTTAAGTAAGGAGGCAACTGTGGTAGGCCTAACTGGGTAGTACATGTCAGCAACAATGTAACATTTTTGTTCCAATATTTTCCATCTGCCCCTGGTTTAATTCTAACGTGTGAAACCCCTGGATATGGAGCCATATGCCGTGTTTTCAAAACATTCATGTTAGTTAGTTGTCAATCAATGTCTCACACAAACTTAAAGGCAAAAGAAAATCTTTGGGAATAATATTTTGGGGGGCTGATTTCATTGGATTTAACATATCCTTTGGGCCAATCGTGGTAAGAGAATCATGTCTGTTTTCAGATTATCAGGGACCATCCTGTTTTCATAGTCCTAGTCCTAGTCTACTCCTTGGGTGTGAATCACCCAGGGAGTAACTAACACCCAGGCTACTTTGGCTGAGCAATGACATCCCACTTGGAGGACTCTAAGCATCCAGAAACCACGTAACCAATCGTTTCTTCCTACCTCCTCCTTCCTCCACAGGAGTTTACCTTTCTAGGCCAAAATCCAAACAGAACATGAAAAAACAATGAACGAATACATAAATTACAAGACAAGTGGCATTCTGCAGATTGGTTATCTTCATTAAAAAATTAATCAGCTTATCCTTCAGTGAATCATTGTAATATATTAACATGTTTGTTATAGAATCTAACTCCTTGGAATTAAAAAGGTAAGGCTTATGAAATAGTCTTTTTGTGAGTGTCCTTACTCAAAGTTCCTGGCCTTATGCTAAACACCTTACTAACTTCTTTTTTCACTTTAAAACTCTTTTCAATCAAAGTGATGCATACACACAATTTTAAGAGTAAATGAGGTCTTCAAGTCTAGACACACATACATTCATGGTACCCCAATTTTTTCTTACCCAGAGGTGCATTTCTTTTTTGTATTTGGTGAAGTAAGATGCTGTGATTTTTATTTTTTACTTTGAAGTATTTTTATGAACTTCCCGACATTGGGAATGACGATTAAGCTCTCTTACCCTTTATCTGCCAACCTGTGAGCATGTATACTAACCCTTCTCACTTCCCAGTGCGCAGAGTGGGGCAAAAGTAGGTTTACGGTCATGCGTATGCAAAACACAGAGTTTACTCTTGCACTATTATTGTTCATTACTGTAGTATTATTTTCCACACTAGTAACTGTGAACCTACTTTTGCTCAACCCTGTAATAATGTAATAACTTTGTTTAGAGAGATATTCAGGGTTACAGTATCATGGCTATGTAAAAGATATTCATCACTAAGTCATTAAATTTAATATGGTTATTTCCCTTTCCTTGATAGCATTTTGTATTTTGCAGAGTTAACAATTATCTTTTTAAATGTGTGCTTAGTGTCTATGTACTTATCACTAATTCAACCCCTACAATCTCCACCAATTATCTTAGTCTCACCTGAAAAAATTTTTTAATAGCATCCCAATTTTGTTTCATGGATACACTATTTACCTCTCTGATGATGCTATCAATAACGCTACTTGACAGTTTTCTTCTCCCTAATTCAGAGCTTCTGCGATCTGGACCGGCAGTCTCTTACGTCTGATTCCTAGCTTTCATCCTAGGCTGTTCCTTCACCATATTTCTTGGTGTCTTCATTCCTCTTTTATTGCTGTATCTCACATCTTTCTCTTGTCCTGGTTTTTCTCTTCATCATGGTGAGACACATCCCCTAACAGCTTCCCAACAGAAAGTGTGTGACAGGAAAATTTGCATGTCTGAATAGTTCTCATATTATGGTCACATTTGATTGATAATTTGCCTAGGTACAGATTTCTAGATTGGAAATAATCCCTTTAGAATTTGGAAGGCATTCCTCTTTAGCTTTAAGTTAATTTTGAGAAGTCAGAAGCTATTCAGAATCCTAATCCTTCAAAATGACTCCTTTTCCTGGACCATTTTTGCAGGATCTTTGTTTTGGTTTCCAGATGTCTGAAATGTTATGAAAATGTGTCTAGATGCTAGATGTGAGTTTATTTTCACCTATGGTCCTAGGTACTTTTGAACACTTTTTTTCTGAAAAATCAAGTCCTCTAATTCTAGTAAAAAATTTAAGATACTCTCTTTGATAAAATCAGAGAAATGTTTCCCTTCTATTTTTCTGGAATTCCTTTTATTTGATCTTTGGCCTGGCTTTATTTTTTCTTTTTCCTTCTATATTTCATTTCTTTTTCTTTTTACTCTATTTCCTAGGAAATAGTCTATCTCTTTATCATTGACATTTAATACTATAGCTTTCATTTCTAAAGGCTCTTCTTTACTTGTCTGGATATTACTTTTTAATTTTTTTTAAATAGCATCCGAATTTTGTTTCATGGATCAATACCATCTCTTACCTCTCTGAGGGTGTTAGTGATAACTCTGACTGACATTTTCTTCCCCCTTCACAATTTGCTGAACTCTCTTCATGTTGCTTTAGTTACTTTTTTAAACATCGTGGTAAAAAACAGAACACAAACTTATCTTCTTAACAACGCTTCAGTGCACAGATTGGCATTGTTCACTGTGTGCTTGCGGCTGCACAACACCCAGAACTTGTCATCCTGTGTGACCAAAAGACTCCGTACCCAGTGAGCAGCTCCTCCTTCCCCTCTCCCGGCCCTGGAGACAACCCTTCCGCTCTCCTGTTTCTGTGGCTTTGGCTAATCTAAGTGCCCCACACAAATGCGATCACTGGGGATTTGACTTTGAGATTGGTTTATTTCACTCAGCGTAACGCCTTCAAGGTTCACCCATGTTGTGTGTAGGGCAGTATGTTCTTTTATCAGGCTGGGCAACATTCCCTTGTATGCAGAGACCACATTTCTTTATCTGACCATCTGTTGATGGTGTGGTCCCTTTTTAAATCAGCTTATCCTTCAATAAATCATTTTTAAGATCGTGGCGGCTTCGAGGGATGAGAGGTTTTCCCTGGCTGTGTGGTGACCTTTGATTTCCTGCTCCTGTTTAAAAGTGGGGCTCTAAGAGTTTCCATTAGAGCTTCTGGGGGCTTTTCCGTAGGGGAATCTGATTGACTGTTCGTTCCCCTGGGGAAGCCACCAAATATTGGTATCGTTGGGTCTAGCTGTTCAGATTCCCCAGAGAAGAATCTTCTGGCTGGAGCTGGTGGGGAAGAGGAGTGGAGGGGAGCAGCAGCACTGGTCTACAGCTCTGCATCCAGCCCCTGAAGTGCTGCACCTACCCTTGAGTGCTGCACCAGCATCCCCTAACCCAAAGACCTGCTGTTATGTCCTCTTCAGAGGATGCACCCTGGGTTTATGGAGTGGCAAAGCAAGACAAAGGATCCAGAGATCTAACTGTTTCTTAGGTTCTCCAGGTTTCCTGTTTATAGCCCCACCTTTACCCCCACTTCCACAGGTACCTAATTAGCCACTTCCTAGCTATGCAGGGGTAGCGGTCTGGGGTATCATCTGTTGGCCTCTCATCTTTCCCCATTGCTAGCTTATGTTGGCTTCCTTGGTTTTGCTAAGTTACTTACTACTTGCCCACTAAATTACTTAATGTTTATGCATTTCTTTGTCTTTGAGAGTTTTTGCCTTAAAAAATATCCGTTTATTATTGTTTTAATATGGTTGGTTAAGGAACAAAATAAAATGAGTGTGTTTATCATCTTTGTCTAAAAATCATGGAAATGATCTTTCTGAAATGCTTTAAATGACCGGAGAGGAGAACTCAGAGGTGAGGCAGCCTTGGAGCTGCAGACCCTGTGTTTCTCTGTGCACAGGCCTGGCTGCTCCCACGTGGGCCTCTTTCTCCTGCCTGGGGCCAGGGCTTGCCACTCCTGACCTCACTCACTGGGCTGCCAGTGACTCCAGAGGCAGATCACATTTCTCTATCTGACCATCTGTTGATATGTAGTCCCTTAGATGTATAGAACCCTGTAGCCAGGCTTCTTTCCCTCAGGGAAGCTCCAGAATGACTTTCTGTTTTCATCACCTGTTTCAGGGCTTTGCACACAGACAATGCCATGCACTTAGGATGAGCTGTTTTAACTTGTTGAAATTCAAACTCAAAGACAACTGGAAAACCATTTTCCAAGAGGGAAAAAGCCCTGCCCGCAAAGAACACGAGTGCTTCTGGTCTCAGAGGAGTCTGGCACAGGAGGCG